TTCGTGCCGCGTGTAGCCGCGCTGCACGGGGTTCGAACCAGCCGGGATTTAAAAATGGCAGCGCCCGGCTTATGCAAATGAAGCCCAGGAAATTCAAATCCCGGGCTTCATTTGCAAGTGCGGTATGCCTACATTACCCTCCTAGTTCGAACTAGCGGGGTAGTGTAGACATACCCTGAGATCCAGAGCAGGGAACACAGAGTCCCAGACACGTGCTGGCGTGGGCACTTGCATGTCTGCACCTGGAGTGGAGACAACACCAGGCACAGGGTGTGTGTCAGTCCAAGATAAACAGCCAGGCCAGCCAGGCCAGCAGCTCTGGCTCCCTGGGCAGATCACTCGGCCTCTCTTTGGCCCTAGAGTCAGTCTGATTGCTGGGCTCCATCCTAGGCAGCACTTTCCCAAACAACCACAGTTACTCACAGCACCTTCTAGACAGGCCTTTAACAGCAACAGGCACAGCCAGGGTCTCTCCCCTCCAGGTTCAATCACCCACAGCCCCTGAAGCAGCCAGCTAGATCCTAGCCCCAGCAGGCTCTCAGCTTGCAAGAGCAGCTCCTGGCCTGGAAAAGGCTCCACACCAGCAAATCTGGCTCCTCTCTCCAAACTGAAGCCCCCCAACTCTCTCCTGGCACTGCCTGGAAGAGAGCAACAATTTCCCTTCTTTTACACAAGGCATCCTGAGAGTTGTAGTCTCTGGGCTAGATTGCTGCACAAAGGATCCTCCCAGTAAAAATCAGAGGCTCGATAGCACGGCTACTCAACCCACGATCTGTGGGCCACATGCAGCCCGCAGCCCGTTTGGCCAGCCTGCTATAAAATTTACTGGCAAAGGGGGGGGGGGGGAATGCGTGTAATCTATAGTATTAACCTATAAATTTTGCTATCGGTTCACCGGTTAATTGATTACACTATTACATCCCTAGTTGTGCCAAGCATCTCAGCCAGCGCCGTCCCTCCCAATAGGCAAAACACGCAGCTGCATAGGGCACCACAAAATTTGGGGTGCCAAATTGCCCCAAATATCAGGTTTAAAACAAACAAAAAGAAGTTTGTCTAAACTCAAGGCACAGTCAAGCTCTGGAACTCCCTGCCAGAGGAGGTGGTGAAGGCTAGGACTTTAACAGGGTTAAAAAAAGAGCTGGATAGATTCCTGGAAGTGAGGTCCATCCATGGCTATTAGGCAGGACGGGTAGGAATGGTGTCTGTCTGGCTGGAGGTGGGTGACAGGGGGAAGGATCATGGGAGGATTCCCTGTTGTGTTCCCTCCCTCTGGGCATGTGGTGTTGGCCACTGTGGGCAGACAGGACACTGGGCTAGACGGACCTTTGGTCTGAACCAGTCTGGCCGTTCTTATGTCCCTGGGAGATCCATGGCTATTAGGCAGGACGGGTAGGAATGGTGTCTGTCTGGCTGGAGGTGGGTGACAGGGGGAAGGATCATGGGAGGATTCCCTGTTGTGTTCCCTCCCTCTGGGCATGTGGTGTTGGCCACTGTGGGCAGACAGGACACTGGGCTAGACGGACCTTTGGTCTGAACCAGTCTGGCCGTTCTTATGTCCCTGGGAGCCCATGCAGTCGTGTGTTGCCCAGGGGCCGAGGGTGGGCAGTACCACAGCAAATAGAGCAGTATGGCCCCAGACACCGCTCCCCCGGGGCGAGAACGGCAACCCACGGCCCACAGGAGCGGCGAGCGAGGATACCCGCAGCCGAGTGGGTCCACATAGCAGTGGGGGCCGCCAGGCGCTAACCCGGGGGGGCCGCCGG